TCTGTGCCCGGACAGGAAGGACTCAAGGAAGTACAGGCAGGGAAAGACAGTGTACTATAAACAGCAAAACAGGATCTGACAGTAAAAAGCTTACCAGAAAAGGGTCAGGCGAAACAACAAGAACAAAGCTTTTTAAATAGAAGATATATGAAGTCAAAAGGCACAGGGGTCTGAAGTGTTAGCTATGGGGAGGATCACCTCCAGGGTTTTCAGCAGCCAGAGAGCATCACTGTACTCCAGAACAATCCAATCACTAACACCACAGTTTGGAAACTAAACTGTATTTAAGAGAAAGTGTTCAAATCAAATACTTTTTAATGGATTTCTTTCTAAAATGGCTAGATTCTCTGATCTGATCAAGATTCAACCGTTCTACTCACATAAAAATGACGCATGAAAAGCAGCATGGTTTAGTGGGGAAATTGAGCATAAGTTCTGGAGTCAAGCAGATGTAGGTTCCGGTACTTGGGAGGTTTTGTGGTCTTCAGTATAGGGAATGTGGCTGAAATCGGAGACGTCAGGAGGTTTTCAAGGGAGAGTGTGCAAAGTGTAAGAAGTTTGAGAGCTTGCTGGGACCCAACCTGAACCGCCAACACTTCAGGGATGACGGAGGAGAGAGAGGACCTTGCATACAAGACACAGGGACACAGGAGTCATCAGAAACTTGAAGGAAAACCTGAAGAATTTAGGATTACCAAAGCCAGGCAAAAAGAGTGTTTCCAGAAGGACTGTGCACTGTGTCAAATGCTGAACAGTAGAGCTAAACAAACAACTGCAGAATATTCCCTGGGCATAGGAAAATAAGAGGACATTGGCATCTTGATTAGTACAGATTCAAGGGAAACAAGTAAATATAACTCTTTTAAGAATTGTAGCCATGAAGGGAAGAACAGAAAGGTAGACTTAGCTAGAGATGAGGGGGAAGGTTGACATGTGAGCATTTTTTTAATGGATAAGAAAAGCTTACATTATGTTTAGGTGTTGATGGGAATAAATCGTAGAGACAGATGAAAGATACAGGAGAAAAAAATGGCCAACAAATGGAGTAAGGCCTCTGAAAATGTGGGAGGAGATGAGAGCCACTGCACAGAGGAGGGACTGGACTTAGGAGGAAGGAAAAGGAGGAACAAAGGAAAGCAGAGCTGATGCAAGGACCTCGAGGGAGGCCCTGTCTACTGGTTTCTATTTTCTCTAGAAAGTAGCAGGTGGGTCTTCTGCTGAGAGTGAAGGAGCCTCAAGATGGGCAGAAGAATTAGAAGCTTGAGGAGAAAGAAACTTTAAATTGTCACCGAGGAGAATTAAAGAAGAGGAATACAGGCCCCCGTCCAGTCTCTTTAAGTTCATGCCCGAAACTGTGGACCCTGTGACCATGAGCAGTGATTAGGATACAGTCTGAATGGCCAGGTTTAAAAATGGGACTCTTTCTTTTGTGCTTTAACCAGGGTCCTACACACCTCAGCGCACAGAGAGGAGAGGAATCTAGACTTGAACGTTTGAACGTATAATAGCCTCACAGACATTTCCATCAGCAAATTCCAAGAAATCAATTCTAGGGGCGCCTGCCTGGGTGGCTCAGTCGGTTAAACGTCCGACTTCGACTCAGGCCACGATCTCGCGGTCCGTGAGTTCGAGCCCCACGTCGGGCTCTGTGCTGACAGCTCAGAGCCTGGAGCCTGCTTCCGATTCTGTGTCTCCCTCTCTCTCTGCCCCTCCCCCGTTCATGGTCTGTCTCTCTCTCTGTCTCAAAAATAAATAAACGTTAAAAAAATTAAAAAAAAAAAAAGAAATCAATTCTAGGCTCATATTTTAGTAAACAGCTAATATCAAAGCATGACACTGAAAAATACAGTACGTAATCAAATTGAGGCAAATTAAGACAAAATACCACAGTGAAAAAAAGGCCTCAGTCATTGCAGGTTTCTATTTAGAATTAAATTTCCAGTATTAAATGTTCCTTTTCAATTTGTTTTGGGTCAAGAGGTTATTAACACCATAAAAAAGTTAATAGAAAAGTATGGTCTAGGACAAAGATGTGTTATTATATTTTACATGAATGCCTGTTATTAGGAAATTATCAGTTCCTAAAAACAACCATTCCTAGTTCATTAAGGGACAATTACATCAAAACTCATCTCCTATTATATTTTATTTCCCAATTAGTATTCTAGAGACAAGAGCACATGTTATAACAGAAACCATACTTCTATGTCTACAACTGTTAAATAAAAGATATAGGACATATAGTTTTTTTATCTAACTAAATCATATAGTTTATTTCAAAATTTGTTTTAAATATTATGTTTATTCATTTTTCTCCTCTTACTCTGGCCCAAAATCTTAATTGAAATCTATGACTAGAAGGAAACAAGAATTAATATATAGGGACAAGAGACATCTATTTAAAAGCCTGGGTGGCTTGGTTGGTTAAGCATCCGACTCTTGATTTCGGTTCAGGTCATGATCTCACCTCTCCACAGTTCATAAGATCATGCCCTGCACTGGGCTCCATGCTAACGGCACAGAGCCTGCTTGGGATTCTCTCTCTCCATTTTTCTGCCGCTCTCCTGTTCACATGCATGTGCACTTTCTCTCAAAA